CACATAAAAGGGACACGGGTGCATGTCGCAAATTTTGAAAAGAACCCCTAGTAGGTACCAAGATCCTGTTCTGTGGGCATGGCTTGAAATTTTTTTCACTTCTTAGAGGTATCAATTCTAAAACAAAACATTTATCTCCTGTCATATTTTTTCGGCTCAATACCCTAAAAGGTAACACAGAAGCTCCCGCTGAGGATCTTTTGAGGCTAAATATCCTAAGAGGGACCAAAACCGCTTTTTCAACCCCTTCAAGGTACAACTAGCACCCCTTTCCTTTTTATATCGGAGTCCCCCTGCCCTGGCTGGACAGAAGTACTGATTGAGTTCTATTACGACTGACTGACTACCTTCTTATTACAGGTATGCAATGTGTGCTGAGGGCTTTGTAACTGTAGCCCATTGCACTCCATTGGAGGCCTATAATTCTAGGTAATAACGTTCTCAGTTTTTTTTCTTTTTGTTTTTCGCTCAATTGACAACAACATCGATCTTTTCATCTTCTTTTCGACAAATTTTATCTACCATTAAATTGAATGCATCAGGCTGATCAGCGTAAACGTGGTGTCCTGCTTCAGGAATGACTTGAACATCCACATAACTGCCATTTCGAAGATATTTAGTTTCGTAACTTGTGGAATCATCAATCCAAGACTCTGAACCATGGATCATTGTCATAGGAATGTTTTTGTCAACTCCACTGATTCTGTGAATCATGGGAAACTTGGCCCAGCCAAAAGAAGCTGACATCTTCTTGAAAGCAGTTTCACCACTGAAGAAAGAAAAGAACCAAACTTACACGTAATTCAGTCAAAAGTTGCCATTAAAATTAAGACATCAATTTATTCACTGCACAGTATTTTCAAAAAGAGGAAATTATTTTGTATTGCATCTGAGAACTTACGGACTGTTTATCCTCATATAAAAGGGTATTTTTAGGGGTGGAAACTAACTGGCTTAACTAGCTGTTATGCTGAATTACCTGGGTTTTTGAGCATTACAGTGGTAGATGTAATTGAGAATGGTGTCATCTTCTGTCAGAAGACGAGAATACTTCCTTTGAAAGTCGGGCCTAAATTTCTGGACCAATGATGGACCTGTCATGGAACAAAATCACAAAATTAATAATCATTTGTCATCATCATCACCACATCATCAACAACAACAACCCTATCATTAAAGAAGTTACACATATTGGAGATATTCTCAAATCTCTGTGGTAAGTCTCAGATGTATCTAGTTCATAATATCTATATTATAGACATGTACAACATTTTGATCATTACTAGAATGGACCAATAGGCAAAGAGACCGTGATAAACAAATGAATGGTAAATATAACACTGTAGAAAAAATTTCATGTCAATTCATGACAGAATTAATGTCTACTTTGACCCCTGTTCTCTAATCAGATGACATCAGAGCTAATGATAATTCCATATGTCACCAGAATTACCATCAATAATATTTTTAACCACCAGGCCACGCATTCATATTATTCTCATGTTTATTGCACCAAACTAAGCAGAGTGTTTGCAGAGGAAAATAACAGATTGTAATTCCTGACTCAAAGATTCCCAGAGGCTTAAATAATTTTATCTCTTTTACCAGTGTTCTGTAAACATCCAGCTTAATATGTTGAACCACCCAATTACACCAAATATTAAATGCCTGATATATTGTGTTTCTAATATCTAATTTTCATGTGAATTTACCTAGTACAAAAGTGAATTGGCTTTTGACCAGTCAAAACCCAGTCAATTAGCAATGTCATTGGATCAATAACAAAAAAAGACAGATCAAGAGTAACAATTACCCCAAGGACCAGCCGCTCGCAATCCTGCAAGTGGGTTAAATGGCATGATAACAGCTTTTAACACCCTCGCCCACATCGGAAAGTTATTCTCAATATCAGGTGGTTTCTCAGGAAAGCCCCACGAATCCACAAGGACAAGATGCTGCACTCTGGAGGGATGTCTGAGAGCATAGGAACTTGCCAGGAAGCCGCCAAAGCTGTGTCCCAAGAGAACAAATTTTTCCAGTCCAAGTTGGTGTCGCCATTGTTCAATTGAGTCCACAAATTCCTTTTCAGCTTCTTCTGGACTGGAACTTATTTTAGGTCGTGAACTGCGGCCAAATCCCAACACATCCATAGCATAAATAGTCCTTTCCTTTGCTAAAGCATCAATGTTCATTGCCCAGAGACCTACACCTCCTCCAAAGCCATGAACCATTACCAAAGGTACCTTTGTCGCATTAGGATTGAATTTTAATGTCCATATTTTTTGCTGATTTTCTATAGGAACATATTTGCTTTCATAGTGAGTCTTGATAACTGCAGAAAGACAAATATGGAAAATTAGGTGAATTTAAGCACTTTTTGTAGATTTGAGAAAATATAGACCCATAATGCATTGTGTACCAGTTGTAAAATAAATTTAACCTTAAAGCAAAGTTCTACCCTGGGAAGGGTACCCCTTATCTGGGCTATGGTCTTTTTCTGAGTTGTTTTGGTGTCAAATAGGGTTTAAATTTTAGCCATTTTGGTCTGAAATAGGGCATGGTTTGTGCACTCTGGTCTTGAATTGGGTATATTTTAAAAGAAGCCACACCTTAATTATTATGAAAACTGAGACCATCAACATCAAGATAAGGCCTTTCTCAAATTATGTTAAAGCTTATGCCCACGGCGTACATGTACTGTGTGCCACAACAGCATGTCATGTACTCCAGTCACTTCCCAGGCTTCTGGAGCTTTCAGATCTAAAAGAAGGGGTGGCGAATGGTCCTTCAAAAGCTCTGGGTCTCGTAAAATTTTAGTCGAATTTCACAGGTCTCACAGTCTCGTTTTTTAGCAGTTATGTGCGTCTCGCAGTCTCAATTTTTCTAAGAAGCTGTCTCGGAGTCTCAATTTTTGCAAGGCTAAAGGTCTTGAAGTCCCGATTCGTTCCTTTATCTGTTTTTATAAATGACATCTTCTCTTCACTTGATATGGAATTTCAATGAAGCAACTTAAAAATTTTCCAAGAAAAAGTTAATCCTAACTTCTTCTTGTCTTAATTCCACAAAAAGGTACAAAACCTACCGCAACGCCCAATTTGACGCCAGAAAAACAGTTATTTTTCTCTAGGATATCATAACATAGTGTGTTAAAATCGAATTTCCAGTTCCAGTCAGTTCCAAGAAGCTGGCTGAAGGCTGTACAAGCTCATTCTAGCTCTCAACTAAATCTGGGGCTCCAAGTTTAAGAGTCTGAATAGTCTGCAGAACAGGCGGATTACCAGGTTCTAGCGCTATACACGAGCGCACGGGCGGAAAAAGCACGGGTACATATAAGCACCCTGGTGAGAGCCTGCAAATCCGCCTGTTCTACAGGTTAGAGTCTGAACGTCTCGCGCTCACCCTCACAACACTTTGAAGTCTCGGTCTCGCAATCTAAAAAGTCAAAATGTCTCAGGCTCGCAAAGAAAAATGCCTGTCTCACCGTCTCGCAAAGTCTCACATTTGCCATTCGCCATCCCTGAAAGAGGGCATCACATTTAGGGTTGGCTTTAAAAAGGCAGGGAAAATTGCAAATTTTGGTCTGAAATAGGGTAATTGGCTTGGGGTTCAATAAGCTCGCCGCACCCCCCCCCCCTTACCCCCACCCCCTTCCCCTTCAATTGCGTTCGCCAAAACGCCGCTGTTGTTTTAGTTGCCTCTGTGTTCGATTATTCGTTGCGAATTATACAAGGATTTAGATTTAGAATTTCTACTGCAGTTTTTCCACTAGCTAATCCATCTCATGAAGGAACATTGTTAGGGTTCAGTCAACAGACAACAGCATTGTAACCACAGATTGAAAAAAATCAAGCCATAAGAAGCGATGATCAGACAGAAAAACGGGCGGCGGGCAGGCTGCATGCCATTTTGAAACCGGCACTGTTATTGGGTACGGAAAACAACTTTCTCGAGAACTGAACTCACATTGCAAAATTTTTGCTTCCGCAGCTTCCAGTATACTCTCTGAAGTTGGTCGCCATGAACACTTTCCTTCACACCACCTGGATCCTTCCACCGATGATGTAACGACACTGGGAAAAATAAACATTACACTTCGTAAGCTAGCGTAAAAGATCAATTTTATTTCAC